TTAAAGCTTTCTACTTTGCCTCTTCCTTTTTCATCTGCATATTCTTTTTGCAGGTCTTAGATTTCAGTCATCGCATCGCGAACGTGTCCAGGACATTCAGTCTGGTAGACAAGAAGTCGTCGACTTCTTTACGGATTGTGAGGGGGCTGACATCAGCTAGCCGTTTGGCAATCCCTCCCCCACCGAGCCTTGAGCCACGAGATGGCGGCGTCAGCGGGACGCAAGGGTATATCAGCCTATTCACGTAAAACGGCGTGTAGCCGGTAGATGAATGCACTGCATTGTTCAGTGCAAACTCTACGAGCAGCAACATGGCGCTCCGTTTCAGCGCAGACGCTGCGAAGAACCTCTTCGATGACTCGAAGGACCCTTTCGGTTTGATCATCGGTCTGCGGATGATCCGCAACTTGGTGCCTAGCACCTTGAAGATAGTCGACCAAAATTTCCCGTGAAATGGGGGTCTCTATCCTAGACAATCGACTCTGGGACTCCGCGTTGACGGAAAACACGATCCACGAACAACGTTGCTGTACCGACTCCGTCGATGGTGTCTGGCAATGCCGCCAAATTAGCCATCTCTCTCAATCGGTCGACGAATACCACGACGCCCGTGTTGCCCGCCGAATCTTTGGGCAGGCCAAACACAAAGTCCAAACTTATGGACTACCAGCTCCCAGTGGGTACCGGTAAGCTGGCCAGCGGCGCAGCCGCATTTGGAGCGGGTTTCACCCATTAATACGTCTCACAGGTGCGCAGATAGGTGCTCGTCCAGTTGTACAAATTGGGCCGCCAATAGTGGTGACGCACGTTTTCTCACGGCCGAGATGACCACTAACTGGTGTGTCTTGAGCCTCATAGATGACGCGGTATTTCAAATTCTCATCATGAGGAGCAACAAACGTGGTGTATCCGTTGAATCGGTGCTATGATATAGCAAACCGTCATTCAGTACAGTCGAGCACGCAATCTTTATGACAATTTCTTGTCCGAGTTTCCAAACTCCTTGCTCCCTAGAGCCCGTGGCAACGCTAAACACATGCCACCACCCCCATACACGGTGCGGATCAAATCCACCACAGACGACGTTACATTTATAACATGAGCAAGCTCAAAGTCTGGTCTGCGCGACAACGCATCAACCAAAGCACTCTGCTTTCCAGGCTCATACTTCACCTTGAAGTTATATTCCGCGAAGAAGGATAGCCATCTAGCCATCCTCTGTGAGAGGTGGGGTGACTGAATCGCAGTGCGTAGTGACGCATGATCTGTATGAACACAAACGGCTTGGAGCCAAGCAGGTTGACCCTGAACTTGTCAAGTGCATACTACATCGCAAGTAGCTCCTTGTCATGAATGGGTGGTTCTTCTCTGCAGCTTTGAGCTGTCAAGATCGAACGCGATCACCCGATCTCGCCCCTCGGCGTCTGCTTGCAGCAGTACACAGCCGATGACAAAGTCCGAAGCGTCAAAGACGACGCTAAAAAGCAGATCTGGTTTTGGCAGCGCCAGCATCGGTGCATGCAGGATGGAGTTTTTGACTCCGTCGGAAGCCTCCTGATGTTCGGTGTTCCAACACCATTTCGCATCGTTTTAAAGAAAATTGGGAAATGGTCGGGCCATTTCTGCGTAGTTTACGCTGTACTTGTGCAAGTAGTTGGCGAGACCAAGCCACTTACGAAGTCGTTCTAGTTCTTTGAAAGCGGCCAGTCAACAATGGCCTTGAACGTAGCGGGATCCGCTCGATGGTCACGCTTCCCAATGAAGCACCTTAAAAAGGGAATCTCTTCTCAGCCAAAGATGTACTTGTCTGTATTGGCGTACAGTTTGTTCAGGCGCATGCACTCAAGCACCGCTCTAAAATGGACGATGTGGATATCCTCATCTGTCCTCCCGTCTCCGCACGACAATGAACGAGAATGCCGTCAATGTCTGTCTGGCAATACGCCCTGTTGGGCCTGAACAACTGCGTCACAAGACAATTAAATCTTGCTGGTGCATTTGACAGCCCTTGGGGCATCACCAGCCATTCCCAGAGCATGCCGCTAGGAGTGCTCACCGCTGTCAGCGGAATATCACTCACTCTCATGAGCGTTTGGTAATACCCATCGACCAAGTCGAGTGCACTGTACTTCGTACATCCCACCATGTAAATCTGAAGAACACACTTTCTGAGAATTGGCGTTTGGGCTGGAATGGTGGCAGTGTTGAGCTAATTGTAAGCATGAACGATACGCTACTTGCCGATTTCCGAACACAAAACGTGGGTGTCGAATGGGGGAACTTGCTCTCACGTACCATCCCTGCGTCGTGCTTCGCACGGAAAAAGGCATCAATGACGTCTCACTGCTCTCGAGCAGGGGTCATTGGCGTGTTACGCAGTATTTGTTTTCTGGAACCAGGTCGATCTCATGACGCACACCTCGGACCGGAGGTAGCACTGAAGGCGGGTCTTTGAAGACGACGTCTTAAATTTTTTTTACCAAAGGATAGTAT